TACAGAAATTTACAGGTTGAAATAAAGGCTAAGTATATTGTTCATTACTTGTTGAAATTTGTAGCAATTTACAAGTCTATGTTAAGCCGACATATGATCACCCGCTGAGGTATACAGAAATTTACAGGTTGAAATAAAGGCTAAGTATATTGTTCATTACTTGTTGAAATTTGTAGCAATTTACAAGTCTATGTTAAGCCGACATATGATCACCCGCTGAGGTATACAGAAATTTACAGGTTGAAATAAAGGCTAAGTATATTTCTCTTCACTTGTTGAAATTTGTAGCAATTTACAAGTTGAAGTTAAGCCGAGGTTATTGCTTAAGTTCTCATAGCAATATGTGGGTTGCTTAAACCTAAGGAAGACGCTTAACACTTGTTGAAATTTTTAGCAATTTACAAGTTTATGTTAAGCCGACATATGGCCAGCAGCCAAGGTATACAGAAACTTACAAGTTGAAGTAAATTCTAAGTATATTGTTTAAACACTTGTTGAAATTTATTTAACACTTAGAAAAGTCTACAGTATATGTTAACACTTGTTGAAATTCGTAGCAATTTACAAGATCGCAGGTCAGTATTTTGCCGAAGTAAAAGTTTTGTAGTTATACCCGAGGTATGTAACCCCGAGAAGATTGCACAAAGGATGCAACATGAAGAAGCATACAAGAAATTCCAAGTATAAAACTATGCAGAAGCAATTAACAGAACATCACAAGATTAAAAAGCATCTATAGAAAGAGCAGATGCAGTTACATATTGAAAAAGTTATGTCGACCATAAGAAAGAGTTTTACATATTCCAGAAATTAAAAGAAAGTACAAAAGGCATTTTAAATCAAGACTCTTCAGTATTAACAGCTACAGGGACTGGGACCTCGGACGATTCTGGTGGTACCTCGTCGGCCACTTTTTCCGCTTATATCTCGGCATCAATCTCTGCGATTGTTGTCTCAACACTTCTTTCTATCAAGAGAAGATCGAACGATAGCTGCCCAGTGACAATTTCCTTAGTGACAATTTCCTTGGTTGCCCCCTCAACCTCATCACCCTCCTCATCCAAGGTTAAGTCCATAACCTGCTCAACAGGAGGAGGGGACTTGGCTTCAGCACCATCCTTGGATTTCCTCACCAAGGCTTCATCATCATTCTTCTCTTCATCCCCATCCCCAGCATCAGCCTCAGTCTCTGATTCATCTTCAGTCTGACTTGGACGAGGAAATGGTAAAGGAATGACATCGGCATTACGAAAAGGCGAGTCAACAGGGAGATCAAGTTTTTTAATCAACGACATCCAACCAAGGGAAAATCCCCTGTTGCATGCCTGCCTGACTTGAAGTTTGTAGTCCTCTGCGACATCGGCCATGCCCTGGGCATAGGCCTTTTCATCGGCCTCTTTGACTTCGGCCTTTTTGGTGGCCAGAGCTTGCTGGAGCTCTTTCTCCGCTTGGGCCTTCTTAACCTCGGCCTCTCTTTTCTCAGCCTCAGCAACTTTTTTAACAGCCTCAGCGGATTCGGCCTTCTCAAGAGCTAAAGTTTGGGCCTTAGTAGCTGCCTCGGCCTGATCTTCCAATTTTTTCATCCTTGATTCAAGAGATTTGATCTCTTTCTTCATGGAAGATGCTTCCCTCTTCATATCAACCAACCTTTGCCGATTTTCAAAGGATTGCATTGAAAATGAATGGGCATGTTGGATGGCCTGAGGAAAAAACAGATGTATTAGAAAATATTCTCAGTAAAAAACAAGAAGGAAGAATCACAAGCACAGACAGGAACACTTACTTGGACGGAGTGTTGGAGCATAAGAGCGTAATTCTCATACTCACTAAGCTCAGCATTTCGGTTCAAGTCCTTCGGAAGAAGAAGAGCAGTGCTGAGGGCAACACCAACGTTAATATCGTCGGCACTTTCACTGGCCATGATAGGCCTATCCTCCAGAGTTAGTTCAGGAGCCCATGGAACGTCGGGCTTCTTTGACGCCGAGGTCGTCGCGGACGATGACCTTGGCCTCTTTGATTGTGTAGACCCTGAGGGTTGGCCCTCGGCAGACCTCTTGGTGGAAACAGAGGTTGATTTTTTGCTTTCTGCCAGCTTAGAAATAGGCAAAGCATCCTCAGCCTCGGCATCTGTAGCCTTGGCCTTGGGCTGAGGCTTTTTAACTTTCTTTGGCTTTGTTGGGAGCATTGATTGCATTGGTACAGCTTCGGCGTCAGTTGGAAGGTCGGCAAGAAGATCTTGAACGACAGGCCTTGGACGAACCATCTCGGCAGTCTTTACAAGTCTTCGTCGACGTTTACGTTCTGGAATTGGTATTAAGTAGGGGGCCGAAGTTGATGGAAGATCGGCCGGGTCAGAGGTGGATCCTTGATCTGTTCGGGATGAAGAAGCGGTTACAGTTGTAGCGGTAGGTGGAGAGAGACTCTTTTTCTTCCTTTTTGGGATGTCGGGCAAAGTGGATTTATATGTAGGGATGAAGTTTAATAACAGAGGGGCTTTTCGTTTGTGGACTGGAAGGTCAAGGAGTTTTTTCAAATCTGTTCCTGGGAAGAAGGATTGGCGGAAGTTTTTCGGTGGCTGATGAAGATCTGCAGGACAAAGAAACAGATGTCAGAAACAGAAAGTATTAAAGACTTAAATAAAAACAACCAAGTGTTGGCTCAAGGCTCTTACCCTTGCCCTCTGAAATTGTTCGAGGAAGAGGGTAGAGATGAACATCTTCGTCTGGGCCAAATTCCCAATTTCCCGACGCAATAATAAAGTCATCACCAGCCCCTTTGTTGGAGTCTGGAAGGTAGGCTACAATTTTAAACTGGGTGGATCTCGGCTTAAGGTTACAATTTTAAACAAAGCCCCTATCTTTCAGGTTAAGGGGGCACATTGTATAACTGTACTGAAGGTCGGCCAGGGTGATCCTAAGATTCTCCTACCTAGCTAAAGCTATAATACCGTTAATCACCCTGTAGGAGTTGATAGTAAGTTGCATGGGGTTCAGCCTGTAGAAATGAAGAACTTCGCGAAACAAGGGATCAAGTGGAAGCCGAAGTCCACATTCGGTGAAAGCTACTATAGGAAAGGGCATCGTATGGTCTGTGGGCATAATGGTATCATTATCCCCAGCTAGCTTAAGATGAACATTGGCTGGGATAGAGAATTCCTGCCTAAAATATTCGAGTTTTGTTGGGGTATTTACCCTATGCCTCCACATACCCATTACGTCGGCCTAAACAAAAAGGAGTGTGTTTCAGAATATGGGCGTTTTGTATTCAAGTTTTGTTGGGGTATTTACCCTATGCCTCCACATACCCATTATGTCGGCTTAAAATGTGTTTCAGAAGATGGGCATTTTAAGAAGGGTTGCAAGAACCTCGGCAAAAACCTAGGAAAGGACTGATAAGGCTTGTTTCAATTTTCCCTAAAAATTGAAGGTTCTACACACGACTCCCAAGCCAAAGAACTATAAGGATCAAGATCGAAGACACAGATCTAAACAAGAAAACAAAGGCGACGCTTCAGAATCAAAGAATAGAGGTATGATTCTCAGAAACAAAAGAAAAAAAAATAAAAAAGGGGCAAAAAAAAAAAAAAAAGTGATAAAATAATGCAAGTGTTCAAGATATAGCCATGATTAAAGATACAAACAGATCCAAGGCTTTGAACAAAAGCAATAATAGCAACAGGCAGATGGAAGCACATAGAGAGAGTTAAGAATGAAAGGGAAGAATCTTACCAGAACAAATGAAGCCGGGGCAATGTTCGCCGAGCTCAGAAATCGGTTGTAACAGCAAAGAAAGCTTCGCAAGAATAGGAGATAAAAGACAGTTCCAGAAGAGAGATCGAAGCAATGGCAGATTCGAAGAAGAAAGAGCTTTCGGAGAGAGAAAGAGCAAGAAATCAGAATGAAAAAGTGAAGGAAAAATAGAGACAAAGAAGAGTTTTGTCAAAAATTTGAAACGACAGCAAAATTAGGGCAATTATTACGCCTGGAGCAACACACGCGTCAGACGGCGCAGACAAATGACAGACAGCTTTTAGGCGCGTCACAGACACGCTCCTATGAAGAGAAAACACGTGAAAAGGAACGGTTAGATATGCATGACAGCTCATGCGCGTGGGAAAGTACGTTCGAAACCTTGTTCTCCGTAGAGAACACGTCGGCTGGAAGAGGATTATCTCGGCTAAACAGTTTTTGAGCCATTACTCAGAAAAGAAATGTTGAAATGTCAAGATACGTTCCATCACCTCAGAGTGCCGAGGTAATAGAACCTAGGGGGCAGTTGTGGGGATATATTTTCTGAATACCAACACGTGGCATGGTGACGCCGACGTGTCAGCCGAGGTGCCACGTGTCGTCACAGTTAAGCCGAGATGATCTCGGAGTTGCCGAGGTTATCCCCGAAGATATCGGAATCCGAGATAAGCAGATAAGGGACAAGAGTCCTAAGACAAAGAGGGGACTTAACCAAGATAAAACTCTTAAGGGAGTTTATCTTTATCTCTTAAAGAGTCCAAAGTAAGCACTAAATTGGAGTTCATAGAAGTCATACTTCTAGTACATGTCTCATAGTATCAAGAAATTAATATATAACATCCAAATTATAACATCTATTTTAGTAAAATCAAAAACTACAACACAATCAAAATAACTTGTGCATTTTAATAACCTGCTGAATATAATATCCATTACAAATCATTACAAAAACCTGTTCATTTGGTAATATCAACAAAAACCTGTTCATTTTAATCTATTCAATAAAATATCAACAAAAAGATAAGATCCATCACAATATAATCATAGCCCACAACAACATAGTCAAAATACGTGTTTGGTAATATCAACAAAAACCTGTTCATTTTAATCTATTCAATAAAATATCAACAAAAAGATAAGATCCATCACAATATAATCATAGCCCACAACAACATAGTCAAAATACGTGTTTGGTAATATCAACAAAAACCTGTTCATTTTAATCTATTCAATAAAATATCAACAAAAAGATAAGATCCATCACAATATAATCATAGCCCACAACAACATAGTCAAAATACATGTTTGGTAATATCAACAAAAAGTACAACTACACTGTGATGGATGTGTCTGGTAATATCAACAAAAAACTCTTGCTATGCAGGTTACCAAATTCGTTCATCTCCAATCTGCCATTTAAAAAAGAAAAAATAAAAAGAAAAGACAACAACAAAAGGTTAAGGTAACCATTCACTAAATATGTTAATATGCAACCTATAAGAGAAAAAATAAAAATTTCAAAGTAAATTTTAAACCAAATTTTTATCGTACTTGTTCCGTAAATTTTTACAACTTACATTAGTTCATGATATTTGTTTGAATTATTAGTTCATGAAATCCATTCATGTTATTAGTTCGACTATTTATTAATTCATGAACTTGTATAAATATCATGAAATCCATTCGAATTATACAAGTTCCTGATATTAGTTCATGATATTTCGTCGTATAATTCGACTATTTTTATCGTACATGTTCATGATATTTCTTGGCCTTTTAACGACTATTTCAAGATTTTACTCCCTAACGGCCTATTTTCAAGCCTAAATGTTTTCCAACCGAGAGTCCTATGATTGTTCTGTAAGTTTTCATAACTTATGTTGATTCCTCCCAAAGTGTTCGTGATAATTTCTGATAATCTCAAGGTGTTTGTGATGTTTCCCGGGCCTTTACAAGCATATTTCACATTTTTCCAGGACCTTTTGCGCTTAAATGTCAAAGTAGTTTTTTCTTCTACCCTAGTTGAAGAAGAAATGTTCTACTAAATTAACATATAAACATAATATACTAACCAAGAAGCTTGTTCATCAGAATCTGAACTTTCCCCACTCTCAAAATTTCACGTGATACCTTTTTTGCGTCAAACACTCTATGATACTTTGTATCTTCTTGCTTTGTTTCTTCTCTGACTTTTGAAACCTTGCAATTTGTTCATTTTGCTGTGCTATTTGCATCTCAAGGCGTTGAACATAGTCACTATTTTCAGCAGGTACAACAGTAGTCTTCATAGAAGAAGAAGGCCTCAAGCCGAGTCCTTTCACATAACCTGACCTTGGCTTAAGCACCTTAACTGACAACTCCTCTTGGCTTAAAGGGATCACACCAGTCTGCGAGAGGTGTTCGGCTTGCGTCTTTATCATGTTGTCCTGTTAATTTAAAATAAATCGAACAATTATTAGTTATTCTACCCTACAAAGCAAATAAATAATTTTATCAAAATTAATATGCATTGCCTTGTACATACATAATTAGCTTGGCTCTCCGACGAAATCCATTCATGTGTGTTCGAATTATAGTGGATGGACTTGTAAACTTTGCCAAATCAGGAACTTCTCAATTTGCAATTATCTGATTCATTTGTTTTTGAATGTTATTTCAAATATTTAAATAACAAAGCCTACTAATCTGATAAAATAAAATAGCAGAACACACCAAGCTGTGCACCCTAACCGGGATTGATTTTGATCCACATCTAT